GGAAGGAAGGAAGGAAGGAAGGAAGGAAGGAAGGAAGGAAGGAAGGAAGGAAGGAAGGAAGGAAGGAAGCTTGAACTGAAATTAATTTGACGTCTGTTGTATTAATCCCTTTATTTCCTAAAATAGACATGTGTTATATCAATGTAAAATAAGAAATATGTCTACTTCCTGTTTTATAGAAATTGTGTTTTTATTCCAGTGGATTGCTGATAAAGTAAGTTCAATTTTCATCTGTATGAAACTGAACAGAGAACATTCCTGTCTCCCTGCTGTATAAACTGAATGGCGCCTCTGCAGACTGAACTTGCCTACCGTGGCTTTGAGCCACACTTGTATAACGTATCACACACAAACTGTGAATACAGCATCACCACAAACAGAAAAAGTAGCCTCTAGTAATATTATATCAGAGAGGTGTACTTTAATCAATACTGTCCCTACAAATATTTATAGTTATTAGCCAAGATTTGTTGTACTGTTGAGACAATTGGGTTTTCTCTGTTCAATATTGAAGCTGTATGAGGGCACACTTAGAAAACATTGTTAAAACATATCCAAACATCTTTTTCACCTAGTATAATGTGAAATATTTTTTAATGAGAAAGGGTACAAATCTCAGTTACACACAAATGTGAAATCAGCTTCAGCAGGAAATATCATGCGTCACAACTCAAGAGCGCCCTCTTCTGGAGAAAATTGACTATGCTGCGTTTCACAAGTCTGAATTCTGAATGAAGGATTTATTGTAACTCTTAAAGTATTTTAAAAAATTTAATTTAAACTTGAAAATGACTTGAAACATTAACATTTTTCTATTTAGCGCTTCTAAGAGCAGCTCTCTGGTTGCGTCCATTGTGGCGTCCCTACCGTGATGACGTACTTCCTGTTTCACTGTGGGGACACGTGTGAAGTGCCCGTCGTTGAGCTGAGGGGAGAAAAAGAGCAGCAAACTTCTGTTTTCAGACACCCTGGTCTGATTTTTGGGGCGTTTTGTTTGTGGGAAGCTTCGCCGATTAAGTGTACAACATGGTGAAGCCTCAGTACAAGGGAAAATGCTCGATAAACCCCTCGACGTCCAGCTCCAACCCCGGTGAGCTTCACAGTTTGTTTACACCCAATGCTAACGCTAATGCTAAAATTGCTAAGTAGTCTGGGAGATTCATACAGTTTAACATTTTTGTTGGTAAAATAATGTTGTGGTAAATGGTATACTAGCATAGTGAATAATGGCACATAAAATAATATACGTTATTCTAGTTTTACTACCTTGTGTTGCACAAAATTGTCAAGTCTAATTGGCACTGAGAGACAAATACTTATGGAGGTAAATTAATCATAAACTCGCGTCCCTTGCCATTTGTGGTTTCATTTTTTATTACTTTTATACCTAAGGTTAGTTTATGTAAACCGATTTTAAATGTATAATATTGAACTCGCCCAAAAATTCATTACATCTTCAGATTTTTAAAAGTCTTCTTCTAAAGTATCAACTGTTAGGTCTCACACCATAAAAATAGCTCTGTGATCTTGCTGTACTTATGTTTTGTGTATTCATCTGGTTTAAATATTTATAGATGTAATTAATTAAAACTGAACGTTGCATCTTTTTCACAGATCGACCCAAAGGGGCAGGTGGGAACAACATGAGGGACCGAGCCACCATCAACCGCCTGAATATGTATAGGCAAAAGCAAAGATGGTAATGGATGATACTGCATTGTCTTTCGTTGATAATGTGAAGTTTTCATGTGTAATATAACAGCAAGTGTGTTCACTCTGTTCCTGTGTWTCTGTTCCCAGTAATAAACATGGAAAGGTCATCAAACCCTTACAGTACCAGTCCTCCGTTGCTTCAGGAACAGTAGCCAGAGTTGAACCTAATATCAAATGGTTTGGTGAGTGTAATTTCTGACTGTTATTGTTCTGTTGGAATAGTCTGCACGTTTTAGAGTATTTTTATTTAATTAACTTGTTTTGTAGATGGAACATATGATCAGTAGCTTATTAACTTCTAAATACAAACATAAGTTTATACTGGGTAAAGTCAACACAATATAATATAGTAAAAGGTTTGAGCTCAAATGTGTATCTCTTTTTTATTATTATTATTTTTACATTTTATAAGACTAAATAAGAAGAGGTTTTATTTATAAATTTTCTGGAAGCCCTCAGGAATTCAGAATCCTTAAGTCTAAAAATGCTTGAGAGGGGCTATTGGGGAAAGTGATGAGACGTGGGCTTGTAAATATGATTAGCAGCAAGAAATTGTAACCAAAAGAGTCCTAATTTATATTTTTCAGCAAATACCCGTGTGATCAAGCAGTCGTCACTTCAGAAGTTCCAAGAAGAGATGGAAACAGTACAGAAAGATCCATATCGTGTTGTAATGAGACAAAGCAAACTTCCCATGTCTCTGTTGCATGACAGAGTTAAAGCCCACGTAAGTATAAAGACTATAATCCTGTCCTGGTTTTAAATAATAAGTTTTTTTTTTTGACAGATTTTTTTTTGTCATAAAGCTTTGAAAATTTGGAACTTTTGACAATCTGGCTTTTATGAAGCATTCCTGATCAGGATTAGGGCTCTCCTGAGGATAGCTGGCTTTGAGTTTTATGAGGTGAAATGAACTAATGTTTCTCTTTAATCATCATTCACTTATGGCATTTCATGAGACAGTTCTCTTTTGCCAAGCTTTAACTTTTCCATTCCAGAATCAGGACTATTTTAACATCAAGTTATATTTGTTGTTACGCCACAAACTATCATTTCTCATAAAAATAAGATCTCTTAAAACAGAGATTCTTAACCTATGGGCCGCAGCCCAATTGTGGTCCGTGAGCGCCACCTTGAGGGCCTCAAAAGAACAACAGTTTTTAACTTTGGGCCRCAGAGGGCTGCAGGTTAGTACACCTCGTTGCAGCAAAACATAAGGGGCGGGGTCGTGCCCGAGGCCCGAGCCATACCAAATGTAGAAATGGCGCCATTGCAAACCGGAACTATAGGGGGCGCTGTTTCCTATACTAGCAGCAGCTTATTCTTTTTAATTTTTTATTGATCTTTATAGATCGTTGTTGTGTCTGCCGAGTGGTGAATAAATCCACAAGTCCACCAGTCCACCGGGAGTTACTTCTGTTTTATTCAACTTCCACATAACTCTGGCTAACAGCAACCGTTAGCGGTACTTCCGGTATTAGCAACTCGGTATTTCAAAATAAGAGTTCGTTTTAATACAGTCAGAGCCTGGTCCGTTTAAAATCTATGAAGCAATAAATTTTCAACTAAACTATCTATTGGTTATTCCTCATTTTCAACACAATATTATCT